ATATATATATATATAGTTAATTTTGTTATATTTTTAATAAAGAAATCAAATTAGTTATTTTAAACATATTTAATGTTTGCTTTCTTTCTAAATTTCATCTTATGATCAAAATTTTACAAAGAAACTTTTTTTAAAAATTATAAACATTATGCAGCATATTATAACATTTCTTTTAGTACTAAAACTAAAACTGCTTACCGCTAAAATAATGACATGGAGTATTACGGAAATGTTATGTTTGAATCTAAATTATTTTTTTTGGTAAAGATAGGAAAGATCGTAAAGATGATCACAATGAAGATTGAACCTAGGTGCTCATGCTTTTAACTATTCCAATCCTTTTCTCACTCAATCACTAGGCTAATCCTAGTGGTCATGTTTGAATCTAAATTGAGTTAGCATCAAACTTCGAGTGGACGTTAGAGCTATACATTATACTTAGAAGTTTTATCATAATATTTTGTAGGAAAATCTATTGATTTCAAACTTTTAATCCTTATTCTTCTAATGCGATACATAACGTCCAGCTAAATTATTTCAAATTTTCATTAAGTGAAGTTGAAGGATGAAATACTAATATAACAAAAAAACAGTTAGTCAAAACTGAATTTTGAGAGACACTGGATGGGGTTAAATACTTCATATTGCTATAATGTGTAACTAGCACAATATACGCATGAGATACAAAAACTTTCTTACCCTGGTGTTTTTTTTTGTCACTATGATCAATTATGATAACAGGGAGAAAATAAAAAAAGTAGGGTTTATTTATGCTTAAAACACTAAAATCACACACACCAATTGAGGTTGATCCATCATAAACTTCATAGTTGAATATCAGTAGCAAGGAAGAGTGGCACAACAAATCCTACTCCTTCAAGGTGACTACTAGTCTTTGAAATGTAATTTCTACCTATCTAACTTTACCTTCCCTGATGGTTGACTATCTGAGAAAACATAGCAGAATTAACATCTGTGATCTGTGCAATCAGACGCATCACTTCCTGGTTCACGCAAGGGACCTGCTATATCTTCGTTATATTCAGTTATAACTATACTTTCCCTTTTATCTTCATGTGCGTCAATATCATCACCATATTCATTTATCACTATACTTTCCCTTTTATCTTCATGTGTATCAGTAGAATCACTATATTCATTAATCATTATACTTTCCCTTCTATCTTCATGTGCATCATCAGTAGAATCACTATATTCATTTATCACAGTACTTTCCCTTCTATCTTCATGTGCATCAGTGCGTGAGGAAGCATCTTGTAGGTGAAAAGCATATTCCAAATGCCACAACACATCCCCCATGCTAGGCCTATCAACACCACAATCTGCTATACATCTCTCTGCAATTTGCACAAAAACATATAACGATTGAGGACTAATAGTATCAATAATATGTGGATCAATAACTTCATGGAGCACTCCTCTTCTTAGTCGATTCATTGCCAATTCAGCCAAGTTAATCTCATCCCTTGGTAGTGTCGGGCAAATAACTGGCCTAGCACAAAGTACCTCAAATAGGACTACCCCAAAAGAGTATATATCAGATTTCTGAGTAAGTTGTTGGCTCATGTAATACTCAGGATCTAGGTATCCAAGACTACCCTTCACAAGTGTGCTCACGTGGGCTTCCTCTGGGACAAATTTTGACAAGCCAAAGTCAGAAACCTTAGCAACATATTTCTCATCTAAGAGGATGTTTGTTGTCTTCACATCACGATGTGTAATGCTTAGAGCTGCACCAGTGTGGAGATAGTGCAGGCCACGAGCAGCGCCGATGCATATTTGAAGCCTCTTTTGCCATGGCAAAGGAGGGAGGTTTGAGCCATAAAGGTGGGAACGAAAGGGGCCATTAGCCATGTACTCATACACAAGAACCATCTCTGAATTTTCATCACAGAAACCCATCAGTGAGACTAGGTGGCGATGGCGTAGCTTGGAGAGCATTTCTAGTTCTGTTCTGAACTCATTGATGCCTTGTTCTGAGCTACCATTTCCTCGTTTTATAGCAACATTTGTTCCATCTTCCAACGTTCCAAGGTACACTTTCCCGAAGCCTCCAATACCAATCACTCTCTTCTCATCAAAGTTATTGGTGGCTTGTCGCAATTCACTGATAGGGAAGAACCTTTCAGGCCCTTTTGGGGCGATAGAATTAGAATGACTAGGCTTGCTTATGCGGGAACTGGATATGGTTGAGCTTCTACAAGGGCTTTTGCATGAATGAACTGGAAGGAACCATGATGAAAATCTGTTATGCTGTTCCCAAACTTGAGGTCTCTTTGTCCACCTTATACAAATCATTGCTAGCAACAACGTCGATGTCACAGTCAATGCTATGCCAACCCAAGCAAAAACTTTCATTTCCTTGGATAGTGAACTTGGCCCTTCGAATTCCCCATCAATAGAGAAGAAACCATCCAAGCTGTTTGCATCGTTGCTCATCTTCATCACCTCAATTCCATTCAAAATTGCATCGACTGTGCTTTGTTGGAGATTGGCTGGTCCCACCTGAATCAAGATAGAACCTTTTGTGATGGCTGATGGATTTAACACAAAGTCCTTGTAGAAAGCAGTAGCTAGAGCATTGGTTTGCGATAAAAGGTCCAAAGCTGATACAACCTCAATCCCGTTGATGTACACGTTGAAGTATAACTGGTTAAGACTTTCGCTTACAATGTCACAGAAATGCATTCTTATCAAATAAGAGTAGCTAGTTTCCACATTCACGACCCAACTAAGATTGAAATTTGGTTGTGTGACTTCAGGGTCCTTCATGTGTACGGCACTTGCATAAACTGAGTTTGGAGCAATCAAAGGTGTAACCCCAGTAGGATACTTGATGCTTTCATTGGGCACAACAACAATCTCAGAACCCTGTGGGAAGGTGTTGTAAGACTCGTCAGTTTCCCATGTTCTTGACAAGGTGTCATTCTCAGGAGTTATGGTTGGGCCACCAACGTTTATTCTGTAGGAAACTTGAAGAGCAGATTTCAACAACCCTTTGAATTCTCCAAGTGGGGAAACTGCAGTTGCTGTATCCGAGATAAGAGTGTCAGGGGCTGAGACAACCTCAATGGCATTGATGAACGCAATTGAGTTTTTCTTAGGCTTGAATATAAGGGAGAATCTACTTTTATAAACGTTAACAAGGTATTCCTTGAAAATGGATGAGTCATTGTTCCTGGCAGAGAACTCATGCAAGAGCATGATTTGATCAGTTTGGACAGAGAAAACAGCACTTGTTAAGTTATAGGAAGGGTGAGAGAGAGGGAAGAAGTAAAGACGAACCCAAAGTCTACCAGTTTTGGAGATGTAAAAGGAGTAGGTAGATTTCTCTTGAAAAACTCTTGCACTTTGATACAAAGGCAGTGATGAAGAAGGAACAGAAGGAGAGAGATTTGAGTCGAGTGATATTTGCACATCTTCAGTAATGGATAGGAGGGAAGTGGTTTCACGATCAGATTTGAAGGTTCTGCCATCATTGAGCTGAGTGGGGTGGGAGGAGCCACAATCAATGAGATAGTTAACAAGAGGTAAGAAAGTAGAGTCACATTTGGCAAGGGTGAAAAATAAAAGGTGAAGAATGGAAAGGGGTGAAACAAAAGAAAGTTTCATAAGTCCTTTCTTGATGTTCATCAATGAAGGTGGAGGAGGGTGAACATAAAGATGGGGGATGCATGAAAGAACTGAACGATGGTTTTTTGTTTGACAGGGTGTAGCAGTTGGAGAAACATAAAAGAGAGGTGTTTTGTTTGTAGTGATAGAGAGGGAGAACAAGCACGCATGTTTGGTTGCATGTTGGTAAAAGGAATGATGAATAAGAGCGATTTATGCGTTGGATCCTACAATGTCACTAAGGATGTTTGTCCTAAAATACTTAACAATGAGCAAGTACAAACCGCGTAACAACTAACAACTATACTGGAATCCGTTTAGAAAGAAGATTATGTGTTTAGCTTTAGCACGATGTTATGCAACTGAATAGCATAATTGAGCTACCTAGTGTCGTACTCGTAGGAACAACCAAGTACATAGTTTTCTAAATTTGCTACATATATTTATGGGAAAATGCTAAACTGTACAAAAACTTAAAATACGAAAATAGACAAATGTTTATGATTGATTCATATTCTATATTTTATCATCCTTTTTTATTCAAAAATAAATAATATTAATAATAACACTTCAATACATTTTTTTATCTTTTAAATATATGTAATTACAACGATAGTATATCAAGTTTCAATTAACCTATTTTAGACATTCAAATATTATAATTATGTAATTTTGATCCCCTTAAAAGATAACAACGATAGTATATTGGTGACAAAGTATGATAACATAACATATGAAAATACATAAATAAATATGGTCAAAATACTTAAAAATGAGATTAAAAATCATAAATTTCACCTTTAACAATAACACTCAATCATTAAGTTAATGAGTTTTTGTTATATATAAATAAAAATTATAATATATAATTTTTAATGAAAACTAAAGTTACACATATATTTACTACTATTAAATAATATATATATATATATATAT